AGTTTATTATTTAGATTGGAATAGGATGCCAACTAACACCTGAACGGATTTTACGGTTTTTCTTCCATTTGGTAAGTGCAATTATCTTTAAATTTTTTGTACTTATTTTTAATTAAGAAATTTAAAGTTGTTTAAAATTTTAAGTAAGATCAATGATTTAATAAATAGATATTGGAATTCTAATCTATCTTAGGATTGGTTTGAATTGATTTACTTTTGGTTAGGATTTGATTTAGAATTTAGGATTTGTTTAGGACTTAGGATTTTTCTAGGATTTAGTTTAAGATTTAGGATTTATTTAGGATTTGATTTAGAGCTAAGGTTTGTCTAGGATTTGGTTTAGGATTTAGAATTTATTTAAAGTTTAGGATTTTATTTAGAATATGACATAGAAATTAGTTAAGGTCCACTAAGATTTTCATTGAGAAAAAAATAAGATTTGATTAGGATTTATTTAAGATTTAATTAAGATTTCTCTAATATTTCTTAAAGATTTCTTATAGATTTCTTTTGGATTTTTTTAAGATTTCTTTAAAGTCTATTTATTATTTCTTTATGATTTCTTTACAATTCCTTTAGAAGTTCTTTAGAATTTTTTTATGTTTCTTTTGTCATTTCTTTAAGATTTCTTTTGATTTTGATTAAAGCTTAATTAATATTATTAAGATTTAATTGGAGTTTATTTAAGATTATATTAGAATTTTTAAGATCTTATTGTTGTAATTTCTCTTCTTTCCTCTACAACCACGTGCTTGGTACATTTTCAAGCAAGAATTCATGTAATACAATAATACTATTGTAACAAGCTAGATTACTATGGACTTGGATTATTTTCTATTTATAAATATATTTATTACATCTATTAAAGTCAATAAGAGACCATCTTATATTCTATGTATCTCTTTTTAAGCTATATAAGACATCAAATATACTAAAAATAAGAAAAATATCACATTCTCGAATAAAAATTGATAATAATCAAGAATTCAAAATTAAAGAAATCTTGGATCCAAAGTAGTGCAAAAATATGTTGAAATATTTTATATATTATTAAAAATATAATATTAATAAATTCACATAGAAGCTAGTTAAAAATCTTGTAGATATAGTAAAAAAGTTTATGTTTCTTTATTGATGATATCTATTAAAATCAAGTTGAAAAGTCAATGCCAAAAATATTATATATTTATCTAAATTAAAAAAAGTTTGATAGAAGTAAAAAAAAGTAAATAAATTTAATAATATTTTATTAAAAAGCTTCTTAAAAGCTTTATAGATATGGATTTGACTTTATATGTATTTATAGATGATCAATTGGTTAAAAACTTGGTAATAAACGGGCCACATGTTCCACATGTTGGTAACTTATATTTTTGATTTATGCTATTGATATTTGGTTGTGCTATAAAAAAATAAAGATTATAAAAAATCCAATTTATTGAAGGTTATATATTTTTAGATATGATTATCCTAAAATAATAATTAAAGAGAGATCTAATAATATAAAATATTATTAAATTATTATAACTATTTTTTGTTATCTTTATAAAGTTAATTTTATAGTTAATATTTTCAAAAGACAAAATGTAATAATCTATGAAATCTATATGAATAGTCTTAGTTTTTTTTTTTTTAAAAAATATATTATATTTTTTAAAAAAACAAATTATCTAAAAAACAAAATAAGGTTCTTGAATTCAAAAAGGCAAAAGCTTTGTGATTTTAAAGCCCTCTATGTATGTCTATTGTAAAATAAGGTAAGGATTTTAAGAAAAGAATATAACATGCATTAGGTGTTGCAAAAGATTCAAATTCCATGATTGTTATTATAACTGAATTATTTTTATTTTTATTTTTATCTTATTGATCCATTACTTTTATTGGCAATCATATTCTTCATTTTGGAGTTGTATTTCTTCTTTAAATAATGTTGAGTAGTGTGTTTAGGTTTTCTTCAATATAGGTATAATCCTTTTTAATTATGTTAAGACTTTTCTTGCTTGATAAGTGGTTTGAAATGTGTCACATCAATTTGTATAAGTTTTGGTCTTGATAAATAAGTTTCAAAAAACTTAATTTTTTTTATTATGACTTGATTTTTCTTCTTCAATAAAATCTTTGTTTTTAGCACCTTTTAAAGAATTAATTGTTATATGCAATGGCTTGAGCATGAAATTATTTTAATGAGTCTACTTTTAACATTGTTAACAATAAATCTTTGATAAAATCATTTAATAAATATAAAAGTTGATTAATAAGGGTTATATTATCTCAATCCATATCACAATAAAGGCTTTGGAATTTGGCAATAAAATTGATAGTTGATCTTGATTCATATTTTAAAGATAAAAACTTTATTTTTTATTCTTTTTTTTTAATAACTCTTTTTAAATGTGGCCGTAAATGTATCTAAAAATGAATTCAAATGAAATAGTAGTTATAAATCTTCTTCCATCAAATATGCAAACAAACAAAAAAAAATATTTTCAAATAAGGATACATCTATAAACCCAACTTGAATTTTTTTTTTAAGACATTGAAAAGAATGTGATCTTAAATAAAACAAAACTTATTATAAAAATCTTTAAATTTTATATTTTATTCCATAAAGCTTCTTTGGCATATTAATCTTTGCTTCTTTGATATTTGTAGTAGCAAAGTTTTTTAGATTTATTTACAAGATTGATATGTTTAATTCTCATAACTACACGATTTCTTAGCATAAAAATTAGACCTCATTGTTGACTTCTTTCATAGGCATATGAATAATACTTCTATTGGTCACATTAGTAATACATAATGTTTTTATTATAAGAGTGTTGACAAACTTGTGAAGATTTGCAATAGTTGGAAATCCATTCTTACTCCCATTGATAGAAGCTAAAGTGACTATTGCCAAATACATAGAGACTAGAGATTCTTAAGCTAAAACAAGAATAGAAGAAAGACATTGATAAGAGTAAAGAAGGCTTTACTCTTACCTCCATATATATTACTTAATTAAGGATCTATGTGGCAATATTCTATTGATTATTTGAGATGCATTAAACTTGCAAAACATATATTTAACTTACAATGTAAGTTTTGCTCATGTATGTCACATGGCTAACTTGTACTACAAGTAGTCAATATACACAATATGTGGCCAACTTATTGGCCAAGTTTTCAACCTATCAAATACCTACAGATACTTGTAAAATTAAATCCATGTCTACAAAGCTTTTAAAAAGCTTTTCTATAAGATATTATCAAATTTACTCACTTTTAATTCTATCTAACTCTTCTTATCTTCATAATTATTAATGCCAATATTAATGTCCATAATACAAAATACCTTAAAATTATAAAATAAAAATAATTTAGATACATATTAAGCTTTTAGATGTATTATATTGAATATAATTAAGATAATAAAAGTAGCATAATTAATCAAAAGAAAAAACAACAAATTACCTAAAATTGAATCATTACATAATTTTTAAAATATATATATATTTTTTGGTTTAATGGCATACAAGTAGTAAATGTTAACAAGAAATGAAAACTTATTCTACAAAACTATAAAAAATCTTTTAACTTCATTAAATTAAACATTAAAGAACCAAAATGAAATTGAATGTCCAAACCTACTAAATTTAAGTTATATATAGAAAGATGCATGGTTCTTTTTAAAAGCAAGAAAAGAAGTTATCATAAAATAAGCAATCACCAATCAATTAATGGGATCTAACAAAATAAGCAAAAATATTTAAAAATGAAAAATTGTGGCCAATATTTCTACTTGTTGCAAATATTAGATTTTAAAATATAGTTTTATCATGGCTACTTTTTTAATCTAAGCAGAAATTATACCTTATAAGTGTAATTAAATAAACTACCAATGATAGTTAAAGATCTTGTCATTCTTATGCTTCCAAAATATAGTTACTGTCATATATTTTTCCACTTTGCTGTCCCTTGCTGTCAAATTATTCCTATAAACTCACATGTTTGACTACATTTCTGTCCCTTGCTGCCAAATTATTTCTGTGGTCTCACATACAATTGACCATTTTGCTGTCCCTTGCTGCATTGGAGTTGGAAAAGGAATGTTCAGAAGAATGACAAGGGACCAACATCCCCCTATTTTGGACCTGTTTGGAACCATAACAAGCAAGGATTCTGAGAGTATTGTGATGGTCCCTTGACATTGTCACATGCAATTGGACTGCTGTTGCTTATCTTCTAAGTAAGGTTTGGCATGTCACCCTGCAGGAGATAGGCATGATACCTAAATTTGGAGGCTTTTGATTTATTTGCCACATCATCAGCTGGACCTTTCCACTCTGCTCATTCTGAGCCTGTCATCCTTAGCCTGCTGGAAAAGTACCAATCTGATACTGCACTTCACCAAACTCATCAGTGAACAGAATATGCATCTCCCCCCAAAATTTGCCATCAGCCAGCTACTATTTATTGGAAGTTGGAGATTAAAACACAATGTCAGGAATAATTTGGGGTTTTTAAACCCAGCATCAAATTGGAACTTATTTACATTTGTATAAATAATACCTCAGGGCTTTTAACCATGTAGGAATAATCTTCTTTCCAATCTGAGTTCAAGGACAATACATGCATCACAGAGTGAATTGTTGGATGCATGATGATTTTCCAATGAAAAGGTACATTGCCTGTAAAGATATTTACTAAGAGGGGTTCCACAACCTTGTGATGGAGACAGTAAGCTGAAGGAGTCAAGAATGACATCATAGAAGCACCTGCTGCAAGATATTTTACTAAGAGGCGTTCCAATCTTTACTTCAACAAATTCTCAAAAGAACTACCAGGAGAAGGTCTCTGAAAAATATGTAATATGAGAAAGGTGTGGAGGACCAGAGGTGAAGGAAACAGGAGTCAAGGTGGGAAGCAGAGAGACTAGGGACGAGGGTGAGGGCGAGAGGGGATAGAGTTGGGGCAGGAGCGTCACACGGAGGGGGAGGGCGGAATCAAGGTGAAAGAAAAACGGGTTGGCATCATTCATTATTTCTGAGGAGGCCACATCCCTGTTCTCACTGTCAACTGCCCCTTGTTCAATGACCCATCTGTGACTTCGCATCGAAAGCTCAGTTCCAGTCCCGTCTCTCTTAATCCATTCCTCCTCCTCCTCCGTTTCATCCACGTCTCTCTGTGCTCATCGCTTCACGTCCCTCTCCTCTTGCTGTGTGTGCATGGCGTTGCTACCCTTCATCTGACCCTGCGTAGGTGGAGGAGGAGTCTGTAGCTAATCTTCTTTGCTGTTGTTCGGAAAAGGTAGATCGCACTGAAGAAATCGAGGTGGTAGGCGTCGTCCACCACAACCGAGTTGTATCGCAATGGGGCGATTAGTAGTGGACGTAAGGACTCAGGTGGAGGAGACAGACTCGAAGCCCAAGTCCAGTGATGGAGAGGCGCAGTGGCACCAGATGTCCATGCAACTCGTTAGTTGTCCCGAACTTAAAGAATCAGTTGGGCTCTTTCAAATGCCCGAGCACAATGCGTTTGGCCAAGCTTTCAGGTCACCTCTTAGATGATACCACTCTATCGTCACAACTTGAATGAGATAGCATCCTGGAACCGCATCTATAGAATGACTTCTTTCTGTGCAAGGGTATCAATGTAAAGAGACCTGAATTCTCCTTAGCACATTCTTAGAGGTCGCGTTTGTACTTCAGAGCATACGATGCAAAGGATGGGGAGCGTCAAGCATGCGTGGAGGATCTCTATCGCGCTAATCATACTCACCAGACCTACGATTTCGTAAGTGGCGCCAATTCGATTAAATAATATGCCTTATTTTTGAATCCCACATCGAGTGCCATGGGAATGGATTTTCAATCTCATCTGGTGGAATCAAGTACTATTGCAGGGTCAAGCCATGCGGCAGAAGCACCTGCAATTCAACAAAGCGGTCATGAGCATCTGGGATTGTTGCGAGCTTCTGAACGAGTGCGTAGATGACAGCGATCCTGACCTGGAAGAGCCACAAATTCAGCACCTGTTGCAGACTGCAGAAGCAATCCGCCTTGACTACCCCGATGATACCTGGTTCCATCTTGTGGGACTTATTCATGGTAACCTATTACTGTGGACAACTTGAGGGGACTTGAAGAACTTCTCCTTGCAAATCTTTACTAAATGTTGTTTTGCGAAGTATGTTTGTAGAACCCGTGTTCAGATGGAAAATAACGCTCGAAAGAAATAAGTGGTCACCTTGACTCGGCCCTGTTTGTGAAAAATTGTGGAAGGGCCGATTGAATTGGCGGACATCGGTTAAGAATAAGCGCCACAAGGAACGTCGCAGGATGTTTCTAAAGTGTTTGTGTTGGTGGCAATGGCAGATTTGGGCAAAGTGTTGTTGCATCCTTTGTTCGGAGAGGAGCCTCAATATGCAGTTGTTGGTAGACATCATGTTCTGCACCCTCAAACGTACTCATGTTTATCTAGCATTTATGCTTTAATAGGTCTTCCTTTGGAGTGTTAATGCATGATCTTCGTTGTATTGGATTTGTCCTGGCAGGTGACACTTTCCCAGTAGGATGCGCTTTTGATCCCGCCATTGTGCACACCGAGGTACAATATGTTTCGCCCCTTCGTTTTAAACGAGCATCATGTCATGTGCTCAGTAGAGATCACCATTTTAACATACAACTTAGGCAATTGCCTAAATTGTGTGGTGTGTAGGAAGGTTGTTTGGCGTTTGGCATGGCAACCTACTGTATGGTATTCTAGGAACCATGCACTAGAATTCTGGTAGGGTTTGTGATGTTAGTTGGGTGTGACCTTGCAGTTGTTCAAGGACAATCCTGACACGCATAATCCCCAATTTTCTACCAAGTTGGGAATTTACCAAGAAAAGTGCGGGCTTGACAACGTGGTCATGTCCTGGGGCCACGACGAGTACATGTACCAGGTATTACTTCGAGGTCCCCAACACCACCACGTTCTGTCTTCTTGTGTTTGCTCGCGACATTACTAATTTTCATGTCCAACCGGTCTATTTTATTCTATTTTTCACTTTCTTTTCTACAAACCTGATGATACAGGTCATGAAGCACAACAATACAACACTTCCACCGCAAGCGTTGTTTGTTATCCGCTACCACTCCTTTTACGGTGAGAATTTTGTTTTTCCAACTCGAAGCCCGGAAATTTTGAAAATTACTGGCCCCAAATATGTTTGGGTTATGCTGCTGCGACATCTCGTGATTTCAAGTTCCTACCTAACAAGCGATGATGCTTGGGTTCCATTGTGTAGCGCTGCATCAAGCGGGAGCATACAAGCACCTATTGAGTGAGACCGACCACGAGAATCTTCAGTGGCTTGAAAAATTCAAGTAGTTTCAATCCCCTACTGATGTAAAACTCTGCTATGAGTATGAATTTAACTGAATTTCCCTTAGAGCAGTCATGACTCGATACTGATCATTGCCTCGTCATCGAAATGTATTGCAGCAAATTTGATTTGTACTCCAAAAGTAAGGTGCGCGTCGATACTGATGAAGTGTATCCCTACTATCAGTCCCTCATTGACAAGGTACACTAATCGTTGCAATCTTTGACGAATCCATGCATTCACACTATATTTGGCGGAATTGGACGCAAGTTGGGATATAATGAGCACTCGAAGATTGCATGAGTGGAAAACAGGAACTAACAAGGTGCATTCTTTGTGGTTTATGCAAGAAGTATTTTCCCAAGGTACTTCGATGGTGAGCTAAGTGCAGATGAATACATTCAAGCATCTAGGAGAGCTTCATATTTGTGCAACCCTGTTCCAACAATCGTGTACTATACATCTAGGACTGAAGAATCCGAAGTTGAATGATCAAATTGATGTTCCATGTGCTAAATAATACGCTACATTCATGAATCAGCTCTCGTTCGGCATTTAGTATTACAATTACTTCATATTGGTTAACAAATGTCGTATTTGGGTTCTCTCGACTACCTTGCTTGGAATATCTCTTGGGCCACAAGAGAAATGACCTAATCTCTCTGCAAGGTTATCCAATATTTCCAGCACTTACCTTCAAAGAGGTCTATTTGTTCTAGAATCCGGATTGAACCCTAATATTTTCTGAGAGTGCCCTGATTTCTGTGACGTGCAATCCGTATCTACTTTTTATTAATCAATTATTATAAACATTCAATTCTCATATTTGTTGTTAACTGAATATAGTAGGAGGTCAGCAAATCTTCTGCAAAACGCCACTCCGTGTACATAAACATGCTACACTTGTTTCGACATGATTCGCACCACTACATTCACATGAATAAACCCTACAAGCAGTACCAGTAACTGCCGGACGACATCTCTCTAAGAATCGCATAGCATGATGTCAGTTTCTGTGGGACGTTCGCCAGAGTTTTGAATATTTGGTGGACTTTGTAGTTAGCGTAATTATGGTTGGCACACCGACTTCGAAAAGCTTTGGTTCATCCAATGAGACCTGGGTGAGCCAGCACCTGGGCTAACGCACGAATGATGCGGAATCCAGCTAGTGAGAAGAATCCATGTCATTTGAGGACAACCACAAGACTAACGTTACACAAAATGAAAAAAAAACAATTCATCGCTATAAATAGACTTCGAAGAGCTCCATGGATGATTTCATTGTCAATTCTCCGCGGCCATCCTTAGAGAGGTGACGGTGTTAGAGTTGTGACGGAAAGATTTGGCACACGAAAGTTGGGTGGCACATCGTGGTAGACAGAATTGTATTCACATAGTTTTTATTTATCTTCTTGTAATCGTGAGCTATCTTTTGTTGAACGGTTTGCGGAAATTGCATCATAACTGGGGCAGCTGAAAACCCATGTGGCGGTAGAGGTGATTTTCTTATGGATGCTTGTGATTGTAATTCTTAGTATAGTTCGCGCATGATTTTCAAGCACTACTTTATTCAGAACAAACGAAATCCTGTGTGAGGTGAAGGTGGTGGGTGGCTATCGAATGCTGTTCACCTATGGCGCTAGCGACATCAAGACGCCCAGCGCCTGATCCTGTTGCTGTTCTCCGTGCTCATCGAGCTGCTGTCAACGTGCTAGCTTTTCACACACCCTCCGGCGCTCTTCTCTCCGGGTACACACTATCTCCTGTAGCTTATGTAGATTAATTGTCTCTGAATTGTTTTTGATAATCATTCTAAGTCTCAACTCATTTTTAGTTGTGGCTTTTGACGAACGCAAAGTACATGTAACCATATGTGCAAATTTTCCTTTCTTTTTTGATGCTGTGACCTCTATATGTGTTTAGGGTTTATGGTTTAGGTGCTTAGCATTCAGAAGATGCTTTGTTTCTCGATTTACGGGAGAGAAATTCTATGTGTGCAAAACATGCGGCATTTAAATATTTTATTGTGCGAAATAGTTCTCACACGGGTGGATGCAGTGATGCTGATGGAGAATTGAAAATATGGGACCTTGTGAAACATCGACCTGTGTTTTCGTCGAGGTATGGCCTCGAATTTATTTTATTGCATGTTGAGCTAGTACTGCAAACTATTCCACTAGGCGGAACCGTACCAATCTTTGTCTGGGTTATATTGAACCTGCTAATAGCTTTTAAACAATCGTGTCTGGTTTTCTAATTATTTTGTATTTGTGCAAATGTAGAGTTCATACTCCGTCGGCTGGAGTGCTTGGAATTGGTGTCAGCTCAGCATTAAACAACAAGATTATAAGGTCTGAACACGATTTGAATAGCAACCTCAGGACTGAATTGATCACCTGAGCTATTTGCTTTTTAGAGCTTTAATTACGGTTGTAGGTTTTAATATCAATGGTATTTTGTAATTTTCCATATCAAAGTTTCTGTCCTGGATTATGAAAGCAGCCAAGGTCGAGACGGCACCGTGAAGTGCTGGCAGCTGACAGAATCGAGCTTGTCAAGGTATAAGAAGTGATTTCTAGTCCTCCACTTCATGCGTTCTAGACTTTCTAAGAATGTTGTATTCTCCTACTGCGACAAATAGGATAAGAGATTGTAAAAATGACATTAATTTTGGTGTGCGAGTTGTTGCAGAATTGAGAATTGTTTGATAAGATGAAACAGTTCCAGAGATGGTAATCGCTGGGAATTGAACACCGTGTCTTGGTTGAGCTTGCAGACAACCAATCTTGAGTGTAAAGTCAGAATCTTATCATTTCTGCAAACTCGCAGTTGCAAGGCGTTGCACTACAAATGATGAATCTCATGGTAAGAATTTGTGTTTAGATGAACATGAGGACCTACTGGTGTGATCGAAGTGCGTGATATTAACAAGTTGTCATTGAACTCTTGATATTCGTCACACTTTATTTGGAAATCTCTTGTTTAGTTCATCTGCTAGCTCCACACGTTTGATGTGTTAGGAAGTTAGGACTCTTTCCTCTTCAAATAAGGTATATTTGGTACATGGTTATCTGCAGAGCCTAGTTACAGCCACCAATATTGTACGCTGTTCCCAGTTTATATTGTGATTTATATACTTGTTCATTTGTAATTACTATGTAGAAATCGTTTTCAATAAGGTGCAGAGGATACGAGAGGAGCGGCAGGCCAGATTTTGATGGCCATTGCTGGAAATGATACATCTAAAGTAAGGCAGTACTGTCCATGCGCTTCTTCTAACAAACCTTGTCTAACGTTAGTGTTCTCTCGGCATGATATGTGATAATGTGATATTAGATTATTGGGAATTGGTCCATGCCTGATTATTAATGTGAATATAGGTAGAGATCTGGGACATCACTTCTGGTCAAAGGGTGCAGCTCTTGTCGCCGAAAGACTCTTCTGTAGGTGAGACTTCGTTATAGTCGCAACATAGTTGATTATACCATGTTCCACCTCAACCATACTCTAAGAGATGTTTGCAATTTCATTTACATCCAAAGAACACCATAAGACGTGGAATATCCTTAGAGGTCAATTCTTTAGTACGTAGCTTCATGTGAGACTCCTGTAAAAACATTGTTAAAGTTTTTCATTTAAATGTCAACTGGGCATGGCCAAGCCTTGCATTATAAACTTAGGAGATCCGAATTCTGGATCAATGGGCATTTAACATATATGAGGAGGTGATGTACACTACTATCAAGCACATAATTTGTGGGTGCAGGTATGTGTATGTCACTGCACATGATCTTTCAGTCTGGGGAAGGTGACCAGTGTACAGTAGTTGCCGGGTCAGTCTTCATCTTACGCAAGCTTTCATTTGTTCGTTTCATCTTCAACATGCTCAGACATTCTACTTTGGTGAACACTGTTCAGACCGTAAAATACGAGAAGAGTTAAAACATCAAATCAGTACCATAAATTATACTCTACAGTCCTGAGGCATAACTAGCTATATGCAGATATGAAGATGGCAGCATGTTGATGTGGGACACACGGCATCCAGCTGCGCCTTTGCTACAATCTAAGCAACACAAAGAACCTGGTTAGTCTTCAAAAATTTTATTGAAATTCCCGAGCACTGTTCTTTCTGAAGTGATTGTCGTACATTCTTTCTTCATGATCACGAATGGCAGAATTTTGCTGAAATTGAATTTGGTTCCATAACTTGATGCACGAGAAAATTTAATCTTAAGGTTTGTTAGCTATACGATTCTCACAATCCATTCTAATGTCCAGTAGTCGTCGCTGCATGTCATTGAAGTAAAAAATTTCGCCGATCTGAATGAGGCTTGGCAGGTCAGTATTGTTCAGTATTTCTAGATCCTGGCGCTGATTATTAACTTTCGGATCGCGTACAAGAATGAGATGTTGGTTGCATCGTGAATCGGTTACAGTCTGTTAACTTGTATTTCTAATACCCTGCTGTGTGTTCGTAATGACAGTCCTCAGTCTCGTACTGGATGGACCCGGACTAGGAGGTATTTCAGGTTCTGCTGATGGGCAACTTACACTCTTTTCTTTCAATAGTACTGAGGTAATCAAAATAATATTCTAAAGATCACCAGACTTGAGATGTAGTATTTTGTGGAAAAAATAATCTGCAATAAGTACAACTAAATGACATGTTCTTGTTCATACTTTTCTTCTGGTACAGAACATTAATGTGATTTTGTCCAATTTTGTTGTTATTGTTGTTATTGTTATTTGTTTGTTTTTCTTCTTTCTTTATTCTTTTTTGATGCGGTTGCCTCGCACGCAAGCAGAAAGTGTACACTCCAAAGAAGAAGTTCGAAGGGCAAGCAGGAATAGGTGATATTGCACTACGAGGTGATGATAAAATTTTTGCAACTTCTGGTTGGGATCACCGGTAAGACATTGTACCGATTGCTGTATGGAGATCTGAGGTCACGGTCTTGTTATTTCAATGGCTTCAGTATATGGATCGGAAAATGGAATGGAAGAATAGTGAGAAACTGTTGCATGTATGCTGCATCTGTTGTGCTTATATAATCGTGTAGCTTTAGCGTCATTAGCTATCCACTTTCTTCTTGTTTTGAACTTCGCAAGTGTTTCTCTGTTGACAAGGAACCACGGTGTTGTATGTTCAACAGGGTTTCCATTTATGACTACCGACGTCGCAAGCCTCTGGCTTTTCTTAAATATCACAAAGAGATCGTATGTTTTTTCGTTGCCTTTGGCGTAGTCAATTTCATGTGACATGACTTCATGTGGACAAAATGCAACATTTTATGCTCTATAAAATTTCATTGATGTCTTGTCGCATATCTCAATTTTGATTCTTCAAGAGGAGTGGACGGTGTTGGAACCAGGTGAATGGGGTGGCGTTCTCGGAAGACAAAAAATGGTTAGCCTCAGGATCGAAGGATTCAACCGTGGCTTTGTGGTCCTTGTACCCGCCTTCTGAAGGAACTTCAAAATCCGTGGAGTAAAACAGGTTGGTCACGTATTTTGTAATTGTGGAAGCAATCGTTGTAAACATTCCACAAAAATTATTTTTGAAATTGTTGTCTTCGTGTTGTGACACTTGTATCGTAATTCAAATGTGGTAACTTCAATCACATTCTTACGATGGCCGTCTGATGGCAACCTCCAAGTGAGATGACGTTTCATCAGTAGAGAAGACAACGTTTTCGACAGAAAAGTCTTTGGTAATGTTCGGAGTCTATTTTTGAAGGGCTTATATTATGTAATTTATGGTTTATGCATGGGAAATAGGATGTGAGATCAGACACTTACATTTATTGAATAATAGAAGCCTATATTTTGCATTTCGGTTAGTTGGAATCTTTTGAATATTCACTCGTTACAGGTCAAGAATAATAGTGTGATGGTAGAAAAGATCTTATAAACTATGAGAATCATAGTTGGCTACTAATATTATTTTGGGAGTTCTTCGGCATTGATCAGACAGCATTCATCAATTAAGTGATCCTAAATCTCTTTAAACGAACTTTTTGTTCATCATAAAATACTTGATTTTTTAAGTAATCATGTAAAAGATGTAAAACTTACATGTACCACAACAATAATATTTTGTTAAATCCATCCACCTACTTGTTAAATTCACCCACCTACCCTTCGTATAGAGATTCTTAAATTTAATCATTCTTGTACCATCTTTCATCTTCACCATCATAACCATCATTAAAAAACAGATCATTTGCAATCACTTTATATTTTGCAATCAATGAAAATATGGAGTTTTTATTTTTTGTGTTAAGAATCTAAATTTTTTTGTTAAATAAACTATAAATAAAGAATTTAGAAATATGAATTCAATACTTCATCTAAAGTTTTACAAGAAACTTTGGAAAATGGCACAAAGTTGCAAAGAGCTTTAGACTTGACTTTTGGATAAATCTTTGCAAGAAAGAATAAGACTTTAAATTAAAAATAAAGCAATACAAGTTAATAATTCATATTAAAGAATCAATATTAAAAAAAATTATAGTTCGTAAAAAATCTCTTCAATTTAATAGTTTAAAGAGGCTTAAGAGTTTTAACTTAGAAGACACAAAATTATCCAATCAATCACAACTTTATTTTAACTTTAAGACTTCATTAAACATAAGTAAAAAATCATTAAAATTAATAGCAGCCAAAAACAAGAACCTAAAATAAATGAACCAATTTATGTGATAGAAGAAAAAATAAGTTAAAGTAACCATGATGTGCACTAAAGCTCTCAATTGAAAATAGAATTTACTTAGCAACAAACATACAATATGGCAAGCATTTGTTTTGAATCTTAACCAAGATGACACATGAGTGTTGACACTCACTTCCAAGGATTTTTTAAAATTTATTTATAATATATTTTTAATTTTTTAGAATTTTTTAAAGATTTTGGGATTTCTTGTAATTTCTTCAAGGTTTACTTCGAATCTTCTTATTAAATTGTTTAAGGTTTACTTACTTCTTGAAGCTATCAAAGAGTTGCCAAGTAAAGACTAAAATGCCTAATATTTAAGGTGTTTTTTTCCTTCTTAGATTTTTTCTTGTTCTTATTAGAAAACTAATATTTTTACAATATGTATTTAAATTAATATTTAAATTGGTTTAGAAGATAAATACTACATTATTGAAGAGTTGGTAGAAGATCATCCAAACATATTTGATATTACTAACTCCAACCTACCACATTTATAGTAAGACCAAAGTTGATTGGTTTTATAAGCTCATGACTCAAATTCTCTCAATAATGCTTGAAATTTTTCTCTTCTTCATCTTGTATATACATATCTAATACCAAAGGAGATAGAATCTTGTATATATATAAATAAAGCTATCAAGACAATAAAAAATACCATCTTTTCATCTTCAAGGTATCATATAAACATTCTCTATATTTAATTCAAGAGCCAAATATCAATGGCTTCTTTTATAATTTGAATTTAGTTCAAGGTATGCACATACAATAATACTTCATATTACATAAATGGCTAAAAAAATTAATTTTTTTTTTATTACAATTTGAGATTATATAATATTTTAATCTAACATAATAAAAATTAGTTTATTCAAAATCAAAATCTTTCTATATAAGATATAGATTCCATTATATTGCAACTACTTTTGAAATATTTTAAAAAAAGAATAGGATGTAATATTGAATAGGATTGAAGTCTTTTAGTAAAACACAAAGTATTCAACAACCTTTTCAATTAATTTAAAAGTCAAACTTAATTTTGTGAAATTCAATGTGTTACATATTGGTGATGATTAAATCTAATGTTGTTTTATTCTAATACAACTATTGAATTATTATTATATATATATATATATATATATAGATCTTATAGAAAAACTTATTATAAAACATAGTTCTAAATTATCTTAGATAAAAATTAAGAAGATATTAAAATCTATATTTGTTAATACTATCTTTCTATAAAATAGACTTTTACTTACTTTATAGAACCATAAACAAGGCAAATCAAGATGGATTAACAAAAGTAGTGTTATGTTCATCTTTAGATAGAAATAAAAAATAGCAATTGAAAAAAATTACTTAGATAAATCTTAAGTTAACACTCTTAGAAGGCCAATTATGAATTAGGATTAAAATATACCTTGATGTGCAAAACCACCCAACTATTGTAGATGAAGCTATTTTTTGTTAATTAAAGTGTAAGTAAACTTAATAGGATTTTTTTTTAGAATTATTTTAAGGAATTTAAGTAAATACTTTAATTAATTTAAGTGAATATTTTAAGGAATTTAAGTGAATAGGGGTTTTTTTTTTTTAATTCTAAACAATCTTTGAATTTGATTTAAAAAATAAATAAAATTTAGGTTGTTAAAGATTGCCAAAGTGTTTCTAAATACCTTAGGCATTATTTTTTTTAATTACAAATCCAACTTAAGGTAAGATTATATCTTTCAACAATCAAATGCTCAACATATGTAAGCTAATTTTTATATAATACAATAATCTTTTCTTATCTTTGTAAACTTTACCTGTCACCAATATACATATTTACCTCAATAATTACCTAGATAATGCAAATAGATAGAAGTACATTAAAGTTGATAAATTTGATAATATCTTATAGAAGAGTTTTTAGAAACTATATAAATATAATTTAGACTTTACATGTATTTCTGGTTGATTGATAGGTTAAAAATTTGATCAATAAGTTAGCCACATGTTGCACATATTGATAACTTATGGTACAAGCTGTTGAAGATCAGTAAGCTCTTATTTACTTACCACCACATAAAGATTAATCATAGTAAGTTGCTAATAGTCAAAAGGTAGCAAAAGATTAAAAGAAGTTATTATAATGGCAGCTAGAATTTTAAGCTAGCAGTTGAATTAAGATGAATCTAGATTTAGTTGGAAGGAAGAAGATGTCTTTGGATAAAATCCATATACTTTGGATGTAAACTCCACCTATAAGTAAAAGGTGTTGGAAGTAAGAAACATCTTACTTTACACTTTTCTTTGTATGCAAACTTTGTTGATGCTAAGTATTTGTAGCTTTTAGATTTATTTTTTTTAATAGATTATGGGCCCACACATATTTTCTTGAGTGTTTTGAAGTTCTTTGAAGTGGTTATTGATGTGTGGAGTAGATCAAGTTGTTGTTGCTGATGTTAGGATTTAGAAGTACCTAACCTTTAGATTCAGATCTAGATCTAATTCTTGGTTTGATCTAGATCTAATTCTTGTTTTGGTATTGATGTTTGGTTTTTCACCTTAAGAAAAATGTATAGAACACTTATATTGTATTTTTTTTGAGATAGATCCTTGGTGGTTTAACTTTTTAGTTTCATGACTTAAAAATAGTAATTATGTTTATGGTGTATAGAGGTGATTTATGAGCATAAGAGTGATATTTGAGTTGCAAATCAGATTTGAAACGTTTAGATAGGTCATTAGACTTGTGAGAAGTCTTACAAGTGAAGTTGAGAGTATTTTTGAAAGTAAGAATAATAATTTAATCACAAAGAAGGATTTTATGATTTAAAGGCAACAATACTTTTTTGCTGATTTTGAGAGCATTTAGGACTTCTTTTTTTAATCTTTCTTGATGCATCTCTCTCTTAGACATGGCTTCAAGTAAAGGTGAAGGATTGAGAGTAATTGAAAAGTTTTGAGGTAAAAATTTCTACCATTGGAAAGTAAAAATAGAGTTTTTGTTGGCGTCTTTGGATCCTTGAGATATTGAAAATGAAAGTGAAGAGGCTCCAAGCACACATGCTGATATGAAAGAAAAGAAGGAGTTCAAATGTTGTGAAAAAAATGCTTTTGGATTGATTGCAACAAATGTGGATAAAGCCAACTTCTCCCATATTATCACTTGCAAAGAACTAGCAAAAGCATGAAAAATTCTTTATAATATCTATGAAAGCAAGAACTTATCCAACATCATCTATTTAAGGAAGAAGTTCTTTATTTGTAAGGTGGAAGAAAGAAAAGACCTCATGGCTCATGTCAATAAGATAAGGGCTCTTGTAAACTAACTAGCAATTATTGATAAGTCTTGGAAAGAAAGTGATATTATCATGACCTTGTTGATGAACCTTTTCAAATCCTACAACTACTTTATTATGGCATTAGAGTCCATTAAACTAAAAGAGCTTATAATAGACTATATGATCGTAAGACTTGTCCATGAAGTAACCAAAAAGAAAGAAAATGAGCCCCAAAGTAAGAATTCATCACTCTACTCACATTAAGGCAAAGACAACTATTCAAATCAATGAAATGATGTCAAAGCTTGCTTCATTTGTTACAAAGTAGGCCATTTTGTTCAAAATTGCTACAAAGGCAAAAAAATAGAAAAGAAAAATGTAAATAGTATGCAAGATAAATTTGGAGGACAAGATTATGCATTCACGGCAATAAATGGGATTTCTATGGTTGCTATGTCAAGATGGATTGTGGATTTAGGTTGTTCTAAATATATGATATCTTATAAGTATTTATTTGACACTTAAAAGGCTATTCCAACATCAAATGTGGTATTGATAGATAGTAGTACATATGAAGCCATTGGAATTGGCTCTATTATAGTGGAGGTAGTTGTGAATGGAAAAAATAATAGGATTAGATTCAAAAACATCCTTCATGTACCTAAGATGTAATAAAACCTACTTTCGGTGAGTAAACTTGTAATAGAAGGTTTTAAAATTTAATTCGACATGAATGGATGTTTTATAAGAACATTGAATAGATGTAAGGTCTTCAAAGGCTTTACAGAGGGAAATTTATACTACCTCATTTATAAGAAGGTGAATAGAGTGGATGTAGCTGCATTTA